AATTAATGTAAACCAACTACTATCATTAATTCAATAACACTCAAATAAGGAATAAATTCTCTAATTATATTTACCATTATAAAAATCAATTACCAATATGCTTAGCACATACAAGTTGAAAGGGGGGTGAGTGATAGACAGATGAATAACGGGTAAGAACACGTTTTTGGGAGGGAAACAATAGCTGAAACAGCTACTAATACATGAGGAATCTTTATGAGAATGAGCTCACATCTGATCAACCGTTTATAAGACAATAATTTACTAAAATGATGATTAGTATCTATCGCATTTAAACTGTTTGTGAACATATCAGACTTTTAATCTCACTTAGGTTTTGTTTCTCATTTTGAACGTTTAGAAATATTATATTCGCACTTAATTTAATAAGACAATAAATGAAAGAGATATTTTAGAAAAACCCACCCACAAGATTTTTTTTTCTTAATTGTAAAAAAAGAAAAAGAAAAAAAGGGAAATATTTGAGGGGTAGAAATATAAATACATTAAAAAGTAGGACCACAAATGCAAAAGCAGAATAGTTGGAACAAAATGACAAATAGAGTGATACGAGCACCAAACCAACGATTGCTTGGAACCAATTAAAATTTTTCCCTCTTAAAAAAACAAAATAAAAAATAAAATGAATAAATAAATAATGTATGGAGCAGTAAAAAACCAGAGCCTCCATGCTCATGGGATGAGAGAGAAAGAAAGGGAAGGCTAGAGAGAGAAAGGGTTTTTTGGGGTTTAAGAAGAAGAAGTAGAAGAAGAAGAAGCCATAGGTCCGTCCACCAACTGGTAGTTAGGGATTAAGCTTCTTAACCAAACGCGGCGTTATCGGCCAGGAAGAAGACGCGGAAGACGAAGAAGAAACAGCGGGGATTTGAATTTGTTCAAGCAGAGGAGCAAATAAAAGCAATCCACAGCCACAAAAAGAGAGGCGTCTTTTTTGGGGGATGGAGAAAAGGGAATTAAAGTCATCATTTAGAGAGAGAAATCAAGAAAAAAATCGGTGTTACTCTCACGTGGGAAATGATGCAAATTATAGATAAGAATCGTATGGTTTTAAATTTTTAGATCGTCTTCAAAATCGAAGTCCATACACTTCTCTCTCTCTGTCTCGCTTTTCTTCTGTTGATTGTTCTGGATTTTCCGCCCCTGTTCTTTCTTTAAGTCCATTGATGTTCTTGTGTTCTTTCTGGTGTTTGGAATTCTTCCATGAAAAGTAAGATTTGGTGTTTTGTTGGTATTTGGGATTTACTTGGGATTCAGATTTTATGCTCCGCCGATCGGGTGCTGTTTTCGAGCTTTTTTGTTCCCTTCCACGGCGGCAACCGTCGCGGATTTCTGGGTATTTATATTATCTTAATCTATACTTTTCTTTCTTTATTCATCTATGAACTTAAAATATTCTATTCTTAGTCTCTCTCAATATGCTTACTACACTCTGCTTGAGTAATCAGTTCTGCATGCAGGTTATGAGTAGCTCTATGTTGTTTCTTTGTTTGTTTTCGTTTTTTTCTTATGATTGTTCTTGTGGGCTTCGAGAAATTTTTTGTGAAGAACTGTGGAATTAAGAACCCTAGAAATTTTCGATTGGTTGAGTTTTGTTTTTTGTTGTTTGTTGGTATTCAAGTGAGCTTTGATTCATTGATGGCTGAAAATTGTGTTAGGTGACTACACTACTTGGTTTCACCACTAAGTTCTGAATTGAGAGGGAAAATCTATGGCTACTTACTATTCTAGTTCGAGTAATGGAAGGGATGCTACTCCTATCCTCTACTCGAGAGGAGCTTTGATCGGTTCGTATGAAGACTCGTCGATTCTTCCCCGGAATATGATGATGCATAATTCTGGGATGTACATGGATTCATGTCCTTCACAGGGAGACAATGGTTGTGGTCAGATAACGTCGGTTGGAGCAGCGGGAACGAGCCAACAACAGCAGGAGTTTTTGTCGAATCTCGGTGGTTCGGAGATTGCTGAGCATGATTTCAATACATGGAGAGGAGAGGGAAGGAGTGAAATGGTTGGTGCGAGCTCGATGCGTGGCCCGACCAATGTTCTTCATGGTGGGCAGAATTTGCAGGGTCAGGGGTTATCCCTTACTCTTAGTACACAAATTCCATCTGGAATTCAAATGCCTTCAATTCCTTATAGGAATTCGGATATGGGTTTAGCTTCGTTCTTGAGTCCGAATCCAACTAGTTCAAGCGACGATGGCTGCAGAAATGGCAGTTCTAGAGATGAGCAGTTGACAAAGGGGGGATTATCTCAATACAGTATGATGTCTACAATTGCGAGAACGATGCCGAACTCGAAGTACCTTAAGGCAGCACAACAACTCCTTGATGAAGCTGTTAATGTCAGGAAAGCTTTGAAGCGACCTAATAATGAGAGAAACCAGAGCTCACATGAGCATGAAACTAGAAGTGGAAAGAATGGTGATGCAGGAACCAAAAACGACGGTTCGATGGTCACTGCAAGCGGAGCGTCTTCGATCCCTCAAGAAACTGGAAGCAATTCAACTTGTGAGCTCTCTCATGCTGAAAAGCAAGATTTGCAGAACAAGTTGACAAAGCTTTTATACATGTTGGATGAGGTAATATACTCTCTTATATTCTCTAGATTAGATGAACACATTCGATTCAGTTTTCCGTTGTAATAGTTTGTGACACCGACTTATTCCGAAGTACGAGCTCAAGGTGAACTGGTGATCTTGTTTTGTAGGTTGATAGAAGGTACAATCAATATTACCACCAAATGCAGATTGTGGTATCATCATTTGATGTTATAGCAGGATGTGGGGCGTCTAAGCCATATACTGCACTTGCACTCCAGACTATATCTCGTCATTTTCGGTGCTTGCGGGATGCAATAGCTGGTCAAGTTCGAGCTACCCGTAAAAGCCTGGGAGAGCATGAGAATTCTGGAAATGACAAAGGGGTTGGAATCACCCGACTCCGGTACGTCGACCAGCAGTTAAGGCAACAAAGGGCTCTTCAGCAGCTTGGTATGATACAGCAGCATGCATGGAGGCCTCAAAGAGGGTTGCCTGAGAACTCTGTTTCGATTCTTCGTGCTTGGCTGTTCGAGCATTTCCTTCATCCGTAAGTCTCGAACATTAGTATTTCGTTTTATGTTCTCTCTGTTGAACCAAAATTAAACCTAGTACTACATTTCCAGGTATCCAAAGGACTCTGATAAGATCATGTTGGCAAGGCAAACAGGATTGACTAGAAGTCAGGTAAAAACTCCATAACTGGGGAAGTAGAAACATGGCACTAGAAAGATTTTGGATAATATTTTGAATCAATTTGTTTGATATGTTGGAGAAGACCAAACCTTGTATGTCTGAAAAGATGTGTCAGCTGGAAGTAGGTACATGTCGTGGAGGCTGACGATTTAGCTCCAAAATCATCTTCACATTTTATTTCTCCACATTGTCTATATTTACCTCGAGTTTTGTTGTACTGTCATGTGTACCGATATTAAATTTGATGTCGTCGATGGGCTTGTGCAGGTCTCTAATTGGTTTATCAATGCACGCGTGCGTCTTTGGAAACCTATGGTAGAGGAAATGTACAAGGAAGAGGCAGGCAGTGCAGAAATGGACTCTATATCATCATCTGAAAATGTTGGCAAGGGAACAAAAGGAGATAACAGGACCTTTGAGGATAATAAGGAGGAGGATCTGCAACAAAGTACAAGTTCAACAGCCACCGAAAGATGTAGCACTGGAGACATTATCGACTTAAAATCCGATCAAGCCTCTAATCTTGGAAATTCAGGTTCCACCAGACTAGCTAGTTTCCAAAATGGTGCTCACATCGAAGCCCAAAACGAGCTGGTAAAGTCGAGGGAGGAGCTAAGGCCTAATGTAAATAACTCTAATTTCTTTCCTGATGCAATTGTCCAGTCTCAGGCAGGAAGTGACAGGTTTATGGCTGCCGCTGCTGCCTATCACATGTCTGAACTGGGAAGGTTCGGGGCAGTTAGCGGGGTATCGCTTACACTGGGCTTGCAGCATTGTGAGGGTGGTGGCATACCTATGCCCACTGGGACACAACATGGTTTTGCAGCCATGAGAGGAGACGAAATGTACAATGCTGCAGCGTCTTCTCTTGGGGACACAGGCCATTTTGAATGTGTAAACGCTGGTAACCCACAACCGAGGTTCGGCCCTTCTCATCTTTACCATGATTTTGTTGTGTAAAAGTGCAACTGTACAAGATTGCTGGTCTGCATCATATACTTGATGATATATATGTACCCAATGAAGGAGCAAAGGAACATAGATTTTTCTGCAATAGAACATAGGCTGTTCCTTGTAGCATTTCCTTGCTTGCAGATAAAAAGAATGATTTGTGTCCTCCATATATGATATATGGAAAGCAGCAAAAAACATATTTGTTATATATATCATGTGTAGTTGATTGGAAGGTTAGCCATATTTCGTCTGTCTGCATATGATTCAGTCACTGCCAAACTTTGATTTCCACAGGAAATATCATCATTTGAATAAATGTGAAGTGATTTTGAATTTAAACCTTCTATTACATATCTTTTTAAATCTCCAATTTTTATGCTTTTTGTCTATTTTATTGTAATCTTTTAAGTGTTTTTATAAGTGTACTAGTCTTATTAAGAAACATTAGTCACTTTGAGCATAGCTCAATCAATAAAAATATTATATTTTCGACCAAGATTTGAATCTCGATAAACTGACTCAGATGTATATGCTTCAAACCGACTCAATTCAGTTGGTTCAATCCGGTTTTTCAGTTTTAACATGCATCCATTACTCGAATAACTAAGGAAGCAATCAACGTAAGTAGACAACTTCAGCTAATATTCTACAGATTATAATGGGTATAGAGCTTTACCTTTGAGTCCTTCAATTTGGAAGTCCCGCATTCAGTTCAAAAGTGCTTTCATTCTTAGCTCCCCAAGTGTAATCTGTAGCTCCTTGATTCAAACTTATAAAGATAGGTAGCATAGAAGGCAAACCGTAACTGGAATTAACAGTACCAAGATTTTGTTACCAAAAAACCTATAGACCAGTGGGATCTATAGGAGGAGTTAGTTGAGGTTCCAAACTCCATTTGCCGTGAACAATATTCAGGCACGGCGGTGGTCATGCTATACAAGTCAATAAAGAAAGCCAACTAACACCACCATGGCTATTTGCCCATGCTCTTTACAAAAACAGGAAAAAGGATCAAAATGGTCTTATGAAGGGCTTTGATCAGACAATTATTATGCAGGGTCTACCTGAAAAGAGTAAAGAACGCAATGTCAGGAAATTCTAGAATTGAAAGTAGCTCAGCTGAGAAAATCAAGCATACTGACCTTCTGTACAGAACTCTGACATCTTGATTTAGAAGTGGGGTTTCTAGAAAATTATCGCCACAATCTTTCACGTCAACAGTCGTCACTTCAAAGTCATGATAGCCACAATACTCGTTCCACTCGAACCACATCTTAGCAATCAGTTCCTTCTTGAAGCAAGCGCTATGATCCCCCTCTTCAGGAGAGTCAGCAGCCACCAATCTATAAGCAAAGACTTTCTTAGTTTGGCCAGGACGGAAAGCACGACCAATTGCTTGGCGGGTCACTGATGGATTCAGATGAACATCCAAAATAATGATACGCGATGCCCCTACTAGAGATATGCCTTCCCCACAGGCCTTAATGGAACCAAAGAAGACTCGAGCATCGGGCGAGTTGTTGAAGCGTTCCATCGACCATTCCCGATGCTCAGAAGTTGTTTCACCAGATATCATGAAGGTTTCTTTTCCTGGACTCCAACCTTTCTTCTGCACAACCAATCTCTCCATGAATTTCAAAGGGAGCAGGTATTGGCTGAAAACCAGCAGCTTCTCCCCGGTAGTGGCACACAAATTCAGCATGTTAAGAAAGAATTTTGCCTTCACTCCATCTTTAACGTCCAGCTTATCAATGACCTCATCTATTTTGTCATCCGTTACAACAGCATTCACAGAGAAAACATTCAACTTTGGGTGTAAATAAACAGCACTGCCGGCAGAGCTTATTTTGAACTTCCTATTGAACTTTTTAACTTTTTCTCCTTCGTGCTTCTGTTTAGAAGTGAGATTCAACACCACGGTAAAGTCGACCAATCCAGGGAGCTCATCGAGAAAATCCCCTTTATAGTAATGCAAAATCTTACTGGTCATTTCACGTAAATCATGGATGACACTCACTTTCCTCCTGAAATCTTTATCCTTTTGAAGTGTATGTTCCACCAAATCATAAAAAGCAGAATCAACACCTGTTTTGAACTGCTTCCTCACACCAGGTATATCCACTCTTGACATGATGCGCTTGATGATAGGTCGAGAAGTTTCGGATCTCATGAACTTCGGTCGAACAAGATTCACTATATTGAATACCTCTTTAACATGGTTCTGATAAAGGGTTCCAGAAAGAACCACTTTTCGTGGAGTTCTGACTTTGGCAAGAGCTTGCAAAATATCAGTGTTCTCATTTCTTGGAGTATGCCCCTCATCTAGAATAAGAATGGTAGGAACCTTGAGCAATATATTTTGACATGCAGTTGATGATGCATTGGTTTCAACCTCACAGACGATTGTGGAAAATTGTTTGTATCCTAAGAACAGAATACTCTTGTGCTCGACCCACTGATTCAGTACTGTCAGCTGTTGAGCCCTATTATCAGCTTTAACAGAATAGAAATCATAGAGTGGAATATCTTCCACTTGCCAAATCTGAAACTCTTTTTTCCATGTAGCCAAGATTCCTTTGGGAAGCACAACCAATGGTCTGGCCTGTGGATACTTGGCTAAAAAACTTTGCATAAAACTGATTATCATAAAGGTTTTTCCAGATCCAGGAGCGTGAGCCAAAATGCAGCCTCCAGGATTGTCAGTTACCAAGTTGCTTATAAGGAAATTGAAACCTTCCATTTGATGAGGCTTCATTTGCTTCATATGCCTAGGGTGTGCAGAAATTTCAGTTACAGTCAAATCATCTTCTGAAATTTTAACTTCAAGGTCACCTAAATCTTTGTTGCGAGATTCAGACATGTATGTTCTTGTGCTCTTCTTACCCTGGAAAAGAAATATGAATCATTGCAAGATTAAGTTCACAGAAGATGATAGAGCTGATAACAAATGTAGATCAGAAACTATTCAGGATTTTTCAAAATTATATCACTCGACATGACATAGCTAGTAATGTCGATCCAAATTCACAAACAACCTACTATCACTTGACATGACAGTGACATTTAATAAGGATCCTATAATTAGTGAAAAACTAACAAAACAATCTACTATTCAATTCAAATAAGCTCTTAAGGAATCAGACAAGTTTAAAATTTAATATTACAGCAAAAAAAAAAACGAAGAAAATCCAGGTCTAGCTTTTGTTCGTAGTGTGGAAATTGTAGTTGTGACTTCTTTTTCCAACGCACGAATTGTTCGCGCTTATTATCCGAGTATAAACTCGATAAAAGCTTCATTCAATTATATATCTATCGCATCCTCGATGTTACATTTGAGACTCAAAATCAACATATACCAATGCTACATTCAGAGGGCGACAACAAAACTGCTACCCACGAGCTTATGGACCACAATGTAAATTATTCCGCCCCGCTTTTGGCACGTATAAGTTCATATAACAAAGGCAAGGAAACTTGGTTTTCACACAATTGAGATGCCATGTTGCAAACCTGCTAATTTTAATAAAAATATCACCCTCAACAGAGATCCTTGAATTACAATCCTATCTCAAGTACATGAGGAGCGAGCCAAAACCATTCAACTGTTTAACTTTACATGTAAGCACACTAATATGCAATAAGCTACATAAGTCGGCAACAGAGACACAAACCTTGTTGTACTGAAACTCAAAAATGGTCTCAATTCCTCTGCCAATAACCCCACAAATGCGACAAACATGACCAAGATCCTCCTTCAAGAGAAAAGAATGATCACAGTCCGTATCATCTGTAGTTTGTTGATTAGATGATGAATCTATAGCGACATCCAAGTCCTAGAAGAAGTTAGAATTGCAAGAATTATAAGTTTTACAAAAACAAGTTAAGTTGTTAAAAAGGGCAATGACAATAAATGAGTAAAATTCTACTTTAACACAACATGCACAAAACTAGGATCTTTCTTTAAACAAGTAAAAAAAAGATCACCAATATTTGATAAGCTACAGCAATATTCAATATACAGACTAGCACATTAACCCAAATAAGCTGCACTCATTCCATTAGAAACTAAGGGTTTATAATTAGGAATTAATACATTGCAGACTAAAAACCAGAACTGAAGGAAACTGCAGGCACAGAGACCTATATATATAACAACAATACCTTGGAACATTCCAATGCCATTTTCATATCGTTCCAAATATCTTCAAGACCATCTTCTTCACTGTTAGCCTGTTCGCTGTCCTCATCCTCTTCTATACCGACGTAAACACCTCTGTCTTTCTTACTTATAGTTTCACTTTCACCAATAGGAGTTGCTTCCTCCCCATTTGAAGCCCGGCGTCCCTAACAAGAGAAATCCATCCTTAGAACATACATAAATTATCTTCAACTCTAAACTTCAATAATATAATTTCATAAGGCACTGCTTTTAGACACTGATCAATAGGAGTAATCAATGAACGATATTGAGATTATAAAATGTTGTAGAAATTTCCATCATGCTATCAGTTTTCATTCCACATTCAGAATTAGTTCTAGAACACGTACCAAAAGCCTGAATTAACTAAATTTTTCATTGGTTATGAGGTGAAATTTCTTGTGGAAGATGTTCGGATTGGTATTCATCCTTTAAGATTTTATTTCATAAAAAAATTTACTTATCAGATTGAAGTTCTCTCAATTGCCTCTTTCATTTCTGATCCACACAAAATTGGCATTTTCTTCTGGAAGAATTTCAACAATATGGATTAGGAATTGTTTCATGCTCTGCCAAAAGAAAGAGAGAAAAAGGAAAACACAAACAAACAACAACAATATGGAATTAGGTATGATGTCCTCAATGCCTATTCTCCAAACTTTTTGGAGTAGAGAGGTAGCCAACTGATTTCATCTTTTGCTAATCTGCATTGTAGTTGGAGTTCATCCTCGTAATTGCCTATCATTTCATAAGTTCTTAAGAATGCATAGTCCTCTTAACAATTTGGTTGTATCAATTTTTTTCAAATTAAATATTCTTGTTCTATTAAAAAAGAAAAAAATTGAAGCTACTAGATAGATGTTGTGTGAGATCCCACATCGATTGGGGAGGAGGACGAAGCATTCTTTATAAGGGTGTGAAAACCTCTCTAGCAGACACGTTTTAAAAACCTTGAGGGGAAGCTCGAAAGGAAAAGCCCGAAGAGGACAATATCTACTAGCAGTGGGCTTGGGCCGTTATATGTTGGTTATATTTATTTTTAACAGTGGATGTGTCACAATATTCAATTTCATATATATGTTTAAATTTACAGTTACATAGATGTCTGGAAAGCTTACCACTACCACTTTGTCCTTGAAGAGACTTTGTCCAGGTGGTCCAGGCAGAACAACCTCTTGAAAAGGATGTATACGCCTCGGAACATAGCTTTCTTCCTCATCAGAATCAATTATTACAATAGGCAATTGTGATTTCTCAACATCATTGTCACGAACGTCAATGGCAGAATCATCCTCCAAATCAATGAGATTATTATGAACCAATTGGGAAGCTTGATGATCCATTGCCTCTGTACACTCTTTACTTCTCCCCAGACCAAATAACATACTCGACAGCGTAGGATACTTGGCAATGTAAGGACTTAAAATTTGCATCTTAGACGAAACAAGGACTTCAATCTCTTTAGTGACACTTCCAAACTGACCACAATCCAAGCTATCGATCAAATTATTAATGGCAAACGGATCAGAGTAATCAATTACTTTCGCCGAGTTCTTCATTTTGTTTTGTCTCGGTGTGTCACATTTTTGGGCAGAAATGGTGGTGGTGCCAGGGAAATCTTTTCCATCAGTAGATAATTTTAGTCTCTTACGTCTCTCGTAATACAGTCCTGACCACAATGGATCGCACATTATCGGTATCTAACAGTAGCAATTCAAAGAACTTAACAGAATAAGAACAAACATCCTTCAATGGGCACATATTCAGGCTTAGCAAAGAAAAACTGAATTCAAGTGTTTCTCATTAAAAAAAAAAAACAATAGAGAACTAAATTCAACAATATTGCACCAGGAGAAAGGAAAAGGAAAATATTAGACGAAAAAGGCTATATTGAAAGAAAATAAGATCAGTATCAAATAAAGCTATAACTTGAAGTGTGAAGTATATAAAGCAAAAGTTCCTAAACAATATATCCGGTATTCATTACATCAACAAAACAATGACTATTTTTCCACAGATTATTCTAGTTTAAACAACAAATGCCTAACATGATCTTCCACATGATTGTAAAACCAAGAATGAAATAAATTACAAAACAAAGGTGCTTCAATCTCTTGAAACCAACAAAGTATGCCCAATTATTTTGTTTGTTCGAAGAACCTTACCGTACATTCTGATACAGCAATATCAGATCATACTCAACAATTCTTCACACTTCACGCACATATATCCCTTCTCTAACGTCCTGGGTTCATCAACAAAAAATTTCCACCGAGACCATTGCCAAACAAGTCATATTCACACAAGAACAGCACAACCCCTGCAATAAAAATCGACATAAAGAACATGCAACATTGCGCTAGACATAACCAAGTGATTAGAAATAACCAGAACACTAAAAGAATCAGCATCGTGAAAAAACAGTCCGGATTCACGCAACCCACGAGGGAAACCAAAAAAAGAAACCCCCATTTGTGGAAGAGGAAAGGGTACCATTTGGAGTGGCGGAGATATTATGGGAGAAGTCGATGGTCGCATCCATGGTACGTTCAAGTATAGCAAACACTGAGCATTTCCACAAACACACAGAAGCAAAGATTACATAACAGAAAGAAATATAAAACAACCGAACAGAATCCGCCGAGTAAGTGCATACAACAACAACTGACCTCGAGGAAAACGGAGGCTAACAAATTTGATCAATCCGAGCAGAAGAAGAAAGTGAGAACAGAGTTAGAGAACCCCGATTTCAACGATTTAGGGTCCGATCGAAAGGGAATCAACTCACATTTTAATTCAACTCGATGAGGAGCTTTCTCGTTGAACTTGACAATGGAGACAGAGACAGAGAATCAAAGCATGCGTGAGATGAAGGAAATGGGAGAACGAAGGGTCTGCTCCGCTCTGCTGCTCGGACTGAGGGCGTTTCCGACTGTAGCAAAACGGCGGCGTTTCCACGGTGATTGACGAGGGAGAATGTGATATTGTGAACCAATCAAAATTCAAGAAGATTGCGACGGATCAAGTACACGTGGCTTGCCGAGTCAGTCCTTATTACGTCAGCTTTCTGACTCAGACGACACGCCAGCAGAGATTAACATTTAATTTTTTTTTTCTTTGGTTAAATAATTGCAAATTTTGAATTTTCAACATTGGGTATAAATGTTTTCTTAATATAATATATCAGTTAGATTATGTCCTGTCGTATTTATAATATATTTTAAATATGATATAATATATTTTAATATCTAATGTATAATAATATATATTTTATTATATTTGGATATCATAAAATGTTTAAATATATATTCCACTCAAATCTCATTTTTATTTTAATTCTTTTTTAGTATTTCAATTTTTTTTTCTCATCTATATTTAATATATAAAATATTTATGTGAACGTTTTAATGATCTAAAGTTGTATTCTTATTCACGGTAGAACAAGTTTTGTCCATAAATATAATTAGACAAGTCAATCATTTAGGAGCGGTTCGTAATTACAAATGGGTCAAGCTTATTTTACCCGTGTAATTATATCTTATACCTTAAGTATCATTAATTCTCTAATAAATAATTTGTTTATAATTTAACGGACGCTTTTAGGGTTAGTGAAATGGTGAGATCGTATTGTTCGAGTCCTAGCTTTAGGAAATTATTCATCTATTTACCCTATATAAGAATAAATAAATTTTATATCGTAAATTTATGTGAAATATTAATCTTCTTACTCAACGAATTTATAAAGAGGCATGTCGAATTGATGAGGGGAATGAAATATTTCTTATAAGAGTGTGAAAATCTCCCTAGTAGATACACCTTAAAACATTAAGGGAAAATCCAAAAGAGAAATGACAAAGAGGATAAATATATGCTAGTGTTGGACTTAACGGTTACAAATGGTATCAGACCTAAATATCAGACAGTGTGTTGACGAGGACGCGAAGGGGGTGGAACCTCCCCCTAACGAACTCGTTTTAAAATTCTAAGGGGAAGCCGAGAGATGACGATATTTGCTAGCAGTGGGCTTGAGACTCTCAAGGGGTGAAAAAACTCTTTCTGACGGGCTCATTTTAAAACCTTGAAGTCTCCCTAACAGACTCATTTTAAAACCTTGATGGGAAGTTAAAAGAGAATAATATCTACTATCGGTGAGCATGAGCTAGCTAAAAGTCTTTTGACTTTAGTTTGTGCCACGACGGCCAATACTCCTTGCGCATGGAGTATAAGTGTAGTCAAAGACGAGAAGATTTCGTGAATACTAGGGTAAAAAAAAATCTAAGTTAAATTATAAATTTTGTCTTTATAATTTTAAGAAAATTACAAGATAAACAAGTTAACTTTCTCATTTACCAAATTTGTAATTTTAACAGAAAAAAAAGTTATATATATATATATATTTTTCCCAACAAGTTTACAAATTAAATTTAGAAAATAAATAATGAAAAAGAGGAAGAAACCGACAAGCAGTCGGTTGAAATTTGCTGAGCTCGACCAAACTTCGAATCCAAAATCCAAACACCATCGATTGAGAAAAAAAAAAAAAAAAAAAAAAAAATTAGCGAAAGCTTCAGAGATCGAGAGTTCAATGCTGACTTCTTTTTATATATCGTTTCCGTTTAGTATTTGGCGCTTCCTTCAGCCGCCCCTCTCTGCGAGAATCCCCCATTTGGGCTCACCACTTGGGCGACTCTTTACAGTTTTCCACTGCTTCCGCCTTCGATTCTTCCCCAACCCCTCAAAACCCTTATGTAATTTATGTTATTTCTCACTTCTTTGCGTCTTCTCTAACCCAATTTTCCATTGGACTCTCAATTCCCCCCTCCAATGGCTTCCCAGCAGCACTTATCCACCATTAAGGTCTTACCCTTCAACCATTTCTCTTTTGAATCTCTTTTTTCCGCTTAATTCCACTGTTTTCTTCCCATTTCTCAACTGGGTTTTTGTTTTTGTAGGGCGCCAAAGTGCTCATGGTTGGCGCGGGAGGAATCGGATGCGAGCTTTTGAAGACTCTTGCTCTCTCGGGGTTTCAGGACATTCATATTGTAATTTGGTTTCTTCTTCCTCCTTTTTTTGTTGTTGGAATTCATTGTTTGTGGATCGCTGTTCTTGGGTTTTGTTTTACTCATGATTTTGGTTCGTTTTTGCTGAGAAATTTGAAGAACTTTGGTGGGTTGGGGCTTAAATGGGTTAATGTGATTGCACGTCTCTTTTGGCTGAGTGATGTTTATGGATGAAATGAACTTTGTTATTCGTTTTCGCCATCCTTGTCTTTTGTTTTGCTTGTCCCCCGCAGGGATGCTCAACCATTACTGTTTTGTAAATTAGTAATTTCAGGTTGGTATAGAATATTTCATTTTCCCCCTCCTCCAAAAGATATGGGGGGTAGAAAGAAGAAATTCTTCCACTCCTAGAAGCATTACGTTTTTGTTGTTATGGCACTTCAACGCGTAGTTAAGTTTTTTAATCCAACGGTTGAGAGCTACTGCACTTGGAGAACTAAGTTGCAACTGATTTTGTAACAACTCAAACCCACCACTAATAGATATTGTTCTCGTTGGAATTTCGCTTCTGGACTTCCCCTCAAGGTTTTCAAACAGTTATGTTAGGGAGAGGTTTTCATACTCTTATAAGAAATGTTTCGTTTTCCTCTCCAATCGATGTGGGATCTCACAATTCACCTCTCGTGGAGTCCCAACGTCCTCGTTGACACACCACCTAGTGCTTGGCTTTGATACCATTTGTAACAGCCTAGACCCACTGATAGCAGATATTATCCTCTTTAGGCTTTTACTTTCGAGTTTTACCTCAAGGTTTCTAAGATGCGTCTGCTAGGGAGAGGTTTCCACACCCTTATAAGAAATGTTTCGTTCCCCTCTCCAATTTGATATGAGATCCCACAAATTTTCTCCTCTTTTCATATATAGTAATCTTCATTCTTGGAGATTCTTGAGATGTTCGTCTCTTGATGGTTGATGCATTCAGGTTTATATGTAACTACTTGATATTTGTATTCTAATAATGACGGGTTTTCTATGCTTAATAAATGTTATTTCGGTATTTTATATCGTGCAAGTGAAGCTTTGTTGGTACCTCTAATGATTGTCTATGCAATTTTCTTTAAATTTAAAGGCTTGATATATATTAAATGTTTTCTAGTGTGCATTTAAATTTTTTAAGCTCACTTTGAGAGGTTCAATAGTGATATTGAATATGGTCTACAGTGGTTGATCAACTGTGGGTTTGAGTGTGTTTTTGTTTTTTGCTATGCACTCATGTGCACTACTTAATACTCATTTTCAGATTGACATGGACACCATAGAAGTCAGCAACTTAAATCGACAATTTTTATTCCGAAAATCTCACGTAGGGCAATCAAAGGCTAAGGTAAGGAAATTTCATTTTTCGTCTCATGGTGGCAATTCAGTTTCTGTTTCTGAATGTCTTACATATGTTCAATTTTTTTATGTTAGGTCGCTCGAGATGCTGTCTTAAGATTTAGACCTCATGTTAGCATAACCTCGTATCATGCAAATGTCAAGAATCAAGAGTTTAATGTAGATTTCTTTAAGCAATTTAGTGTTGTTTTGAATGGACTTGACAACTTAGATGCGAGGCGACATGTGAATCGTCTATGCTTGGCAGCTGAGATTCCCTTAGTCGAAAGTGGGACCACTGGATTCCTCGGACAGGTGTTCTGTTTTTTCAATTTTTTTTTCAAGAAACTTTATATTGTGAATATTATGCTCGTAAAGCGTATCAGATCCTTGTGCATTTGCTTTACTTTAAGTCTTCCCCTGGAAACATTGGCACGACAATGTTTAAAGCGGTGAAAACTGAAAAGAGTGGAATATGTATCTCTTGTGGATCTGCCTTGCTAGTCCTTGAACTATAATGATATAAAGTACGAACGCTCATCCAAATTCATTATAATTAATGTTTAAAGAAACGAATATGAGTTGGTACAATCATTGGAAAGTGAGCACTAGGTGATTGAAATGTTGAAACTATGTCAAGAATTAAGAACCGTCTTGTAAGACGTTTATTGTGAGACTAGTTGAGGTGGATACGTGTCTCGAATACCAATGTTTATAGTTAAATATTAAAAAAAGTTTAGAGTCGTAAGTATGGGTACTCATAAGGCTTGTTTGCGCTCGTCCCTACTCCCTAGTCTATGACCTGAATAATACTGGCTAATTTTAAGTATGGATATCCAGCTATCATTTTGCTCGTTCATCTCTATTGGCTAATTTTGAATGTGTTCTTGGTCGGCGCAGGTCACAGTTCATGTCAAGGGCAAAACAGAGTGTTACGAGTGCCAGCCAAAACCGGCCCCAAAAACATATCCTGTCTGTACGATTACTAGTACTCCGTCAAAGGTACTAACAAGTGGTTATGATCTCTATGTTGTTCTCTTAAGTAGTCTTCTCCGAGACCGTACATTAACCATCTATTTTCTTGCTTGTACTACTCGGTGGTGAAATCATTGTTATGTCTGATGAAGGTGTTACACGTGTTTGAACTTTTGGTAATAACGTCTCGAAAATAGAGAGAACTAATAGAATAATGGCTGACGACTAAGGTTATGTATTTATATATAACATCCTGCCTCTGTAACGAACAACTGCTAATACAATTATACAACTAAAACAGCCTAATAATATCATCATTAGCTTATTCAACCATGGATTAACTCGTTTACTACACTCAATAATTGGGTAGTTGAATATTTAAGGAATACATGATCATAACTTTATTCACTGTTAAGTCTCAGCTCATTGAGCGACGGATTCGTCGTTCGATCGCATATTCTTTCCTTAGGTTGTGCAGTTAGTCCTTACTTTTTACTATTTGGTTAACTATGAAGTTCGATACTACGAGTTTCTGCTTTTGTTATGTAGTCTAATTTGGTTGTGTGAACTTTACAGTTCGTTCACTGTATCGTTTGGGCGAAGGATCT